GGGTGTATTCAATTAGGATTTTAAAAGACTATTTTGGGATAAATAAGTCTTGTGGTATTCAATTAAGACTTTTAAATAATCTAAACAAGTCTTGTGGTATTGACTATTAGGATTTTTTAAAGAGGGTATCCAAATCTAGTGGTATTCAATCAAGACTTTAAACAAGTAACAAAAAGTCTGTTGGTATTCAAAAACTTGCTAATTTCGAAGGATTTTTTTTAAAGAAGGAATTTGTGTGACTTTTTAGTGGGAGGTATAAATACCAAACCCTAAAAAAAATCTCACCATAACCCATCAGACTTTTCACGTGAGATTTTTTTTTTCTCTGCGAGAGAAGATGAACAGTTCTTCGTGAAGATAAATAGCTCTTCGTGAATAAGATATTGCTTCCTTCTCGTGCTATGTCTTCTTGTGCTATGTATCAAATATATGCCATGCTTGTATATAGTCTGTGCTATGTTGAACTTTTTTTTTTGGGTGCTGTTTTGGTTGTACTTTGGTTGAAGTATTTGGTTTATAATTTGGTTGAACTATTGTTATTGTAATTTGATTAAACTATTTTGGTTGTACTATGGATATGTCTTTAATGATTTCAATGGTCAGCGTTTGTTTGAATCAGTCCCTTTTAGCTGTCTAATGTTCTTGGTCTTGATAATTTGTTTCTTGTGATAATTCTTCGTATGGGATTTTCTTGCTCAATTCTTATCCTTCCAGATTGATTTTCTTAGCCCATATGGACGGTTTCTTGTGATTATTCTTCATACAGATTATAATTTTTTTTAGACAGCTTTTAGTAAACATGGACAGTTTAGTTTTTTTTTATTTTTTTTTATTTTATTTTTTTTTTACAGCTTTTATTTTCTTCTTTTTATTGTTTTGCAGTCTCGTATATTTTTATATATACGTATAATGTCACAACCGAGCATGTATGAAGGTAATGACATGGAGGAAGAAGAAATTGATGATGAAGAAATAGGTGAAGACGAAATAGATGACGAAGATATAGATGACGAAGATATAGATGACGAAAATATGTTTTATTTATTTATAACTTTTCATACTAATTTTATATATAATTAGGTAAATATTTCCTAGTGGATTGTGGATCTTCATCTTCAGTATTACCAGTTAATGAAGAAGATAATTTTGAACCTATTGTTCAAACCTAAGAGCAGCAACGAGAAGATGCTAATGCGTGGAGGGCTAGCATAGCTTTAGATATATAGAGAAATGCTATTTAGGAGGACATGAAGCTACATCAAATTGGCTATTAAAAGATTGGGAAAATTGTATTGGGTTTTACTTTTCTTTATTAAAATTATAATTTCTTTGTTATTGAATAATTTGGTTGAACTATTATACTATTACCATTGCTCATCATCTAATAAGTTGGTTGGTTAGCATCATAAAAGTAAAAAATCCATGTGGTCATTTCAAATCTTATAAATTCTTATGATATAAATCTTTTAAAATCCAAACGTAAAAAATCTTGATTATAAAAATCTTTTAAAAAAATCTTATAAGTCATTATATTCCTAAATAGTCTTTTAAAATCCACAAGACTTATTCATCTCAAAATAGTCTTTTAAAATCCAAATTGAATACACAAGTTTATTCAGTTAAGAGATTTGGCAGGTCTAGCAAACACTGGCTATCCCCACCGAAATCGACCTCTCCAAAACCGACACGTGTTGCGTCATGGACTACAAAGTTCCCAGAGGTCGTCCTCGGATCACCATAAGATCTGCCAGCGATTTTATGTACTCTCCGCTCATTTTAGATTCTGCCGTGTTCACCAATTCGAACGCATATTCCGTCAGATTTTCACACAAAAGTTGGACCGTTGAAACTTGAGATGTGAAGGCAAATGCATTGCCATCCCAAAGGGAGACATCCACGTGGGTTCATGCCATTGCCACGTGCGCTTGCTACGCATGAAACGCAAGTAAATTGTTCGACTCTGTATCTCTCTGTGTTTTGTTCCTATTGGAAATTGAAACAATAGTTTGTTGGGTAGGAACAAATATAAAGAAAAAATTATAAATCTGATTACCTTTTCAATTTCTCATGCTCCTCCCCTCTTGGTCACAATCAATTTCAAAGACAATTTGGGAGCTTTTTAGTGTGAAATTGATTATTGGGTTACAATATAATATGAGAAAAGAGGGATGAGAGAAACTGAAAATAATGGATATGGATTGAAGGGAGATGGGGAAAACAGAGAAAAATATAGTGGTGGATTATTAAGAAATAGAAAGAACTAAGAGAGGGGCTGTTGCAAGCTGTGTAGGAAACGAAGAGCTTCTGTGGTTGCTTGACTCGTTGGCAACTGATGCAAACTCTTATTTTAATGAAGAATGAGGTAGCATTATCGTTCTGACCCACACCAAAAAAAAAAAAAAAACAAAAACCAAAAAAAAAACAAAAAAAAAACAAAACAAAAGGAAAAAAAGGAACTTGAGTTTTTCTTGTTTGGCTGAAATTGTGTTTCCATTAGTTATAGATAACATAAATTGAGTGATATGAGAACATGTCTTCTTCAGGTCTAACTCATGTTACCAATTAAACAATTTCCCTTTTTTTCTGTCACTCGAATTAAGGCTACGAGCCGACACCAACCTTTCAATAATAATGAGAAAAGTGGAAAGAGTAAAACAAAGAAGTTAACAAGAAGAAATTGGATAAAAAGTTCAAAAAAAAAAAAATTTAAAAAAATTATGGCTCATTTGGGAGTACTTCTCTAAAAAATACTTTTGCTCATAAGCGCTTCTAGTAAACGCATTTTTACTATAAAAACGTTGAAATTTTCATAATTAATCTAAGTGATTCCTGAAAAAGCAAGCACTTAGAGTGCTTCTTCATTAAATAAAAAATAAAAAATAAAAAAAATCTATAATTGATTTGGTGACAATGCTGCAATTTTTTATTATTTTTTCTCAAGGGGTCCAAGCTAAGGAGAGCGAATCACAAAGTATAAAGTAATATTAATGCCAAATGGGCAGAAGGGTCGATGGTCTGTATTGATTTTGTTTAATGTTGGATTACATCACCTTTTTCTCTATGTTTCCAGCTTATATGATGGGATATTGGGTTAGAAATAATTAAACTTCATCCCATTCATCTCCTTAATTCTTTGAAGAGGAGCATCTGCTGCTGCACAAACTGAGCTTTCAGAGCTAACCACATTTGGGAATGATTCAGAAAATACATATTAAAAAACTCTTGTTACAAAACTTGTGCAGTCTCATTCACTATACTCTCCAAGATCTTTTGATTTTTACACAATTGACCCTTCAATCTCCAATCTCCAATCTCCAATCTCCATTTGCAACTACAAAAATATAACCACTTTACATAAATAACACTTGCTCCAATACACTCTCTGCCAATGAGCACTTGCTGGTATTTTGTAACAGAGAAATGTATAGTAGTAGTAACCCCAGAACTCTCTGCCAAGAACTGCAAATAAACCCAACACCTAACTTTCCAAATCACAATTCTAACTTTCAGTTAGATCAAACAAATTCGTAAATTAGTATCCAACCTTCCATGCTCAAGCCAGCACAAGATGAACCCAAAAGGCATATTCAATTCTCAGAGTTAAAAATTAGTTTGATTGATAAGTTTATTCAAGAGAGTGGTCAGTAGGGCATCTCTCCTCTCAGCTCTGCTCTCTTCTCTCATCCTTCTCTGTTCTTCCCTCTCCCTCCAAGCCTGCTCCACCATTAACCTCTCCCTCTCCACCTTCTCCATCTTCTTCTTCCCTGCGCCCGCCTCTCCATCATTTCCCTCCACTCCATCTCCATCCTCTGCTGCTGCTGAAAAAACGCCTTAAGCATATCCTGGATACTACTACTAGTCCCACTAGCAGCATTGGTTGCTTTTGGCATAATTACTCTTTCACCCTTCCTCTTCTTATCATCCTCATCCTCTTCATCTGGGTCCTCTGAGAACTCGTCCGAGGATCGGCCCGGCCTCAATTTCCTCTTCCCCATTTTCTTGGACCGGGCTGAACCCGTCTCGGATTCAAGAAGTAAGCGCTGCATATTATTTGCTCTTTCAGTAAACACTGCCTGCAATTCCTCAAAGAAGGGACACTCCCGCCCACTCTCCGGATCAGACGTCTCCTTCCCCTGAATAATTAGGGTTACTAACTATTGTTTGTTATGTGAATTTCAACCTAAACCCTGCCAAAACCCTAAAATAATTCAATTGGATATCTTTGTGGTACAGCGAATTCTGAAAATTCATACCTTGTAACGAATGAGGAGGTTCTTCCACTTGCATTTGCACTGCTCGGGGGTTCTGTTGAAGCCTCTCTCGGCCATCTTAGAGCTCACTGCTTCCCACAGCGCCTTGCTGCGCTTCGCCAAATTGGAGTTCCTGATCTCCAGTTCTCCACGGATGGCGATCAGCTCCCTCGTCTCCTCTGGGGCCCACTGTCCTGACCCTCCCCCTGCAGGACTGGTCATCATCTTCTTCATCATCCCTGTTCCTCCACTTCCCATTCCCATTCCTATGCCCTCTTCCTCGTCTCCTCCTGCCCCATACATCTCTTCCCCACCCTACGACGTCGTTGCTTCTTTGCTCTCGGAACAGCAGTTTGGGTTTGCTCTTCGATTTGATTGGTACTTTCTTTCCCCGGCCAGACTTCACTATCTCTTATTTGTTTTAGAGCACTTCCACCAAGGCTAGGGCAAGGTAAAGGCTGTCCTGTCACTATTTATGTGAATAGTGATAGTCTTTGCAATTTTATTTCCACCACTAGGTTAGGTAAGAACAATTACTATTCACATGAGATACGAAGAGATTAATTTGTATAGAGTTTTTGGTGTGAGAAGTAAAGAATATAGCTATGTATTTATATAAGAAAAAAATCTGGAATTTTTTTCAATTTTTTTTGTCATTTTGTCTAGCAGTAGCTCGGACTCGTGGGACCCACCCTTTGCCCGGGTTGGACTTGGCACGATGGAGTTGGATTGTGGCTCTTGGGCCCTCTCCGGCCCGGGTTGATGACGTGCTAGAGTGCTGCTATTTCCACATATATCCTATTTCTCTACCATCTTTCTTCCCACACACCATGTAAATTTGAAATAGAACAATCTTTCCATACACCATTATTTCTAAAATAAAAAATTAAATTTAAACCCATAACATGAAGCATTCATTGGAAAAAACCCATGGGTTTATTAAAGATCAATTTAAATTCATAGTTTGGGTTTTTATTAAAAAAAATTTTGGGTTAATTACATTTTTGGTCATTGAGGTTTAGCTCAAAATCAAATTTAGTCACTGTGATTTCAATTTCCCGATTCGTTCACTGTATTTGCAGCTATGATTCGTTCACTGTATTTGCAGCTATTAACAAATCAAGTCCAATGTCTCAATTCCGTCAGTTTCATTAATTAAAAAAATATTTCATATTAAGTTAAAAATTATTAACTTCAATATAAAATTAAGTATAATATATTTAAAACGAAATTAAGGTTTTTAACTGTAGATGTCCCTCAATTTTGCCTGGAGTTGTAATTAAGTCCTATCATCCAACTCTGTCAATTTGTCCGTCAAAATGAGGGGGTAAAAGCGTCCTTTCGGGTTCTTCATCCATTATCGACCCCAACTCTACCTTCTTTATCCATCATCGACCCTAACAACCCCACCTCCATCTTCAGAGCCTTCTCCACCGCCCACAAAACTCCAATCCTGATTATGAGAGTGAGTTTTTCAAATACAAAAGTCATTCAAGCCATCCTGGTTATAAATGCTCAAAGAAATTGAAAGAGATGAAATTAAGAGCAGCTCTTTGGGTATGGTGCTTGTTAGATTGTTATTAGAAAGGTCAAGTTCGAGTAGACTTCGACAGTTCCCAAGGCTGTGGTATACTTGCCTCAAACCTATTACGCCCCATGTAGGGTTTTGTCAATGAAGTTAAGTTGCTTAGGGCTGATAGGATTGACCCAGAAAATCTGTTATTAGTCAAATACAATACCTGTAACGTTTGAAGCTTTCCAATTTTATTAGGGACACTACCACTGAAGTAGTTGTAGTCCATGGCAAGAACACTCAAGTTTACAAGATTTCCAATGCCGCCATGGATGCTACCGTGCATCAAATTTGCCCCCAAAGTAAGAGATTTTAGTTGGGTAGAAAGGTTGGCTATGGATCTTGGCAATTCCCCACCAAAATGATTTAGTGTCAAGACCTAAGACCTCTAGGCTAGTACAATTAGCCAAGAAGCTGATAAAATTCCAATCACTAGTTTTCCTACTGCCTAGGAAGGATTAAGCAATCAGAGGCAAAACCCCAAAACTCAGAAACCCGCAAGCCTAATGCCACCATACAACCACCTAAGATCCACCCTAGCCTCACCTAAGACCATCCAGATTCTCTCTCTATCTCTCTCTCTCTCTCTCTCTCTCTCTCTCTCTCTCTTTCTTTCTCTCTCTCTCTCTGCAAATTCAAAAATTGAAAAAGAAAAAAAAATCGAACACTTTGCATCTTTTGGGGGTGGGGGGTAGCAAGTGGGTTCTACGGATTGGGAGATGGGGGGTGGGTTGCAGGTTGGGTTGAGATCTGGGTTTTGAGGGGGTGGGATAAGGAGGAGGGGGGAATGGGTTGTGGGAAAGAAGGAGAGACAGAGAGGGAGAGCTGAGAGAGTGAAAGAGGGAGAGAGAGAGAGAGAGAGATATTTGGATTTGTATTATTTATTTATTTAATGAAATATTATTTAATTATTTTTTTTCACTTTTTTCAGTTTTTTTTTTCAATTTTTAAAATTTAAAATATTTTAATTGAGATGGACGGTTTTAGCCCTCAAATTAATAGCCAAATTGACGGGAGGACTCAATTGGAACGGATGAGAAAGTTGGATGACCTAATTGCCTCAAAAAAAAGTTCGGGGACCCAATTGCAACTCGAGGTAAAGTTCAGAGACCTCTATAGTAAAAAACCCAAGAAATTAATATAATTAAAACTTAAATTATTAATAAATAAAAAAACAAACAAACGAACAAATAACATGCACCCATCCTTCCCGCTCTACCTATGTCACCCCTCTGCGATCTCTCAGAGCAACTTCATTGTCCAAGTCCACCATGAGAAATAGGAACTGCACCATTTGAATATGGAGGGTGAGGTCGAAGTCAAAGAGGGGTGTCTTCTTGTTTGGGCCTAATTTGGCACACCTAGTCCAATATCAAAAAGCCTATGTCAATTTTGGACAGCCACCAGCGCTCTCGTTATGATTGGGCCAAAAACCTGCATGCCCAGGCCAGGACCTGTTGACCCACGAAAATAAACTTGGGCTTCGGAAAACAGAGAAAAGAAATCAGCCCACAAGTTCCAAAACGCAAACATGGGCATGGCACAATCAAATGAAAAGGAGAACCCAAAACAGAGGCAACCCACGTGGTTACCTAGCTTTGAAATGTCAGCAATTTCAACTGGGTTGATGGGGAATTAATGAAAACAAGTTTTAAACAGGCAAAAGTCTCCAGCCTTTTTCAGACAAAAGAAGATCGAAACCCTTTTTCTAAATTCAGAAAAATTCTGCTCCAGAGCAGATGCCATTTTCAAGAGATAAGCAGGCTATATTTTCTAAAAAAGAGATAAGTAGGGTGTAGGGAGTTGTTCATATGGAAAATCAAACTAACCATCACGGAAGTTTGAACTCTTACAGAGAACAGTTAGAATTAAAGGAGGGTTAGATTTTCTTTCCAGAAAAACAGACAAGTGATTGCTTTAGAACTGACTGTTAATGGTTTACTTGCCAGAATAAGACAACTTCCCTTTTCTTTAACACTTAAAAAATAAAAGATCTTGTTTTTTTTTTTTAGAAAAATCTGCCACCCATTTTAAAGATTAAAAATCTCACTCTAGCATTTTCTATAAATATGAGAGGAGATGAAAAGATCAAGGACGGCTAAAAAAAAAAAATCAAAAACAAAAACTCAAAATGATCACTTGATCTCAAAAGCTTTCGAAATATTGAAAGCAACCAAAAAGCTCATTGAGCCACAAGAAATAAATTAGCTACAATTCAGAATCTCCAACTTCAATTCAGACTTAGAGAAATAAGCCATTCAAAACGAGGTTTCTCTCGTTACAAATTTGGTTCAGCATAAGCCAAATCAAGCAGAGTTCAGGTTTTATAAATATGAAAACCTTAACAAATTTATGGAGAGCCCTGATCAAGCAGAACAGGTATCGTAATGCAGTTCTAGCTTAGTAATCATTAAGTTCAGCCACTTTTGCCCCTTCCAGATTGAAGAGGTCACAATTTTGCCCGTTCCAAAAGTCTTCAAGGACTTGAAATAGATTAAAGCTCTGCCAAACTCGAACGTTGGCATCGATTTACAGCTGAAACTTGATAGTTGAAGGTGTTGATAGTTCAGTCCAGCACATGCATACCTAGTCCAGCCCTTATTAGAAGCATCTATTCAGGCAGAAATGGAAGTCCAACCCACTTTTTATCTTTTTTAGAGTTGGTTTTCCTTTTTGAGTTTTGTAAAAGGCAGTTCTGCCTAAAACAGTTCACTATCCTATCATTTATTCTGGCAAGAGCTACCAGTTTTGTATTGTGAAAACTTGTGAAGTTCTCACCAGTCTGAGGCAAGAAAAGAACTTACTTAGGAGATATTCCTCACCCAAATTCACAATCGCTTGTTTAGAAATCAGTAACTGGGGGTACAAGTTATCTATTTTTAAGAAGTCTGCTAGGATTTTCATTGCTAACAGTGGCACGCTCGCATACTAAAAAAAGTTGACTTGTTGACCAATCAATGGTTTTCGAGGTAATGGGGAACTTTACCCTAACATCACAGGAACAAACATAAAACGGGTGAACAGTAATTTTCACACATAGGGGTATTTTGGTCATTTTAGCCCAAAATTCAGAAACGATTTCCTATGTGTTCGTTAAGTCGACTAGTATCGTCCAATTTCAATTTCTTAAATGTCCTTTGAAAAAAAGAAAAGGGTTCTTAGATCTAGGTCCAAAATGATTAGTTGTCATTGGGTTTAGTCTACATGTTTTTGGTTTTAAATGTATGTCCTTTGACTTTTATTACTCTTTTTATTGTGTTGATTTTACCCTTTGAGGTACATAAGGAAAACATTGAAAATCTAAATTTAATGAATTATTTAATTGTAATTAAATTTCAGAATTTAAATTTGGAATTCTTTTATTGATAATATTTACCTAATATATGGGTAAAATACAAATTAATCAGTTAAAGTAAAGGCCCACATATTATACTAATCAATTAGGTAAGCACCCACATTAAATTATGTACCTAACATACAGGTAAATAGTGTTCTTATTAGCTACGAAAAAAACTAGTGATAAATCGTGTTACCTATAAGTCATGAACATAAATTAGAATACTACCTATAAGTTAGAAACATGAATTAGAAGACTACTTAGAAGTCAGATACAAAAATAGACAAATAAAATTGTATGTTACCTGTAATAAATGTATATTAAATACTATTATTTATTGTCTAAAGTATGAAAAAATAAATATATACCTATCCAATAGGCAATATGACAATATACCTACACCATAGGATAATTTATCTACAAGAGTATATACTATACCTCTACCATAGGGTGAAAAAAAAATAAAAATAATGGCATATAAATTCTCATCTTACTCATTTTAGACAATAAGGATATAATAGGAACAAAAAAATTTAAATACAAATCAATTAAATGCAAAAGTTTGAATCAACATGTCAAAGATGGAATGGAATCTACGTGACAAACTAGTTAAGGGACTTGTATCAATAAACAATAATTTGAGGACTATACCCAATTATTGGTTGGATTTTTGGACCTCTATCAACTTTTCTATATAAAAAAATCACAAAATGTTACGTATAAGGGCATTTTTGTCCAACTTGAAATTAAACACATTTAATTCAATAGTCTCAATCCAAAATCACTTGATAAAATACCCATAATTATTCCTCATCATAATTTTTTTAGTCAAATTTAATGGGCTGCTTTCGAGACTTGGCTCTCTTTCAAACAGGTAGGAATGCTCCGGCCAATAAATGAATAAATAGGCGGGCTAACTGACTCTTCTCTGCCGTCTGGATAACGACCAAATACTTCTAAAAGAAGGATGTTCCACCGACTCTAAACTAACTGAATGAAGTCTAGATCCGTGGATTATTAAAGGGTTGGTTGCTCTTTTCACGATTGATTGATAAATTTCTTATAAATGGTCGGAATGGTCAACGAATGGCACACAGTGTCTTGACAGGGCTGCATTTTCACTGAAATACTAAAGTCATTACACCTTATAAGTAATTTTACAAAGGCATAAATTTGTCTTTAAAATTTTGAAGATAAGGTAGGTGGGGTGTTGAAGGTTGGCGGGCGGGTGTGAAAATAGCAGTGTGTTGGTCCCAAATAAGAGCAATAATTGTACGTAGCATGTCTGTTTCTTAAAAAGATTGTACAAATTAATTATACAAATTTATAAATAAACCCAATTCTAGACATGTATTTATAAAAAAACCCAAACACTATTTAAACATAGAAACACACCCAAAATCAACAATTGTATATTTTTTGGGTGTGTTTATAAATGGGTTTTGAGTGTGTGTAATGATAGGTTTTGGGTGTGTTTATAAATTGTTTTGGGTGTTGGGTTTTTTTATAATTTCAGTCCCCATTTTGGGTGTTTTAGTGAAACCCCCTTAATTAATGATGAGAAAAATGGGGTGAAATGTCTACTTTTCTTCTTCAGCAAAGTGACACGATTAAATGACTCCACCGAGCCTGTTGTTGACTTTAGATCTCTAGTAAGTGAAACTTGGTGATAATTATACGTAATTGACTCGCACGTTGATTGTGTAACATGGAAAATTAAAGTGACACAAGTATTATAGAGTTCTGAGGCCGGTGGAAAGGGCGGTTCTAGAGAATCTCCAAAACGCTATAAATATATACCGTCTATCAATTGATGCCAAGCCACGAAAGCTCAAACACTTCTGTTTTTATTTTAAAGTTTCCAAAATTTTCTTTTGTAGTACTAGGTTTTCGAGCCCACTCACTTGTGCAATGATTTCCCCATCCGCCCTCCTATTTCAGGTGAACCGTTTGAAGCCAGAACTTATAACACCGGCGAAGCCAACACCTCATGAAACAAAGCTACTCTCAAATATTGATGACCAGGAAAGCCTTAGGTTTCAGGTTCCAGTCATAATGTCGTACAAGAACAATCCTTCAATGAAAGGAAACGATGCCGTTGAGGTGATCAGGGAAGCATTGAGTCGGGCACTCGTGTATTACTACCCTTTGGCTGGCAGGCTCAGGGAAGGACCTAACAGGAAGCTTATGGTGGAGTGCAATGGGCCAATAAATGAATAAATAGGCGGGCTAACTGACTCTTCTCTGCCGTCTGGATAACGACCAAATACTTCTAAAAGAAGGATGTTCCACCGACTCTAAACTAACTGAATGAAGTCTAGATCCGTGGATTATTAAAGGGTTGGTTGCTCTTTTCACGATTGATTGATAAATTTCTTATAAATGGTCGGAATGGTCAACGAATGGCACACAGTGTCTTGACAGGGCTGCATTTTCACTGAAATACTAAAGTCATTACACCTTATAAGTAATTTTACAAAGGCATAAATTTGTCTTTAAAATTTTGAAGATAAGGTAGGTGGGGTGTTGAAGGTTGGCGGGCGGGTGTGAAAATAGCAGTGTGTTGGTCCCAAATAAGAGCAATAATTGTACGTAGCATGTCTGTTTCTTAAAAAGATTGTACAAATTAATTATACAAATTTATAAATAAACCCAATTCTAGACATGTATTTATAAAAAAACCCAAACACTATTTAAACATAGAAACACACCCAAAATCAACAATTGTATATTTTTTGGGTGTGTTTATAAATGGGTTTTGAGTGTGTGTAATGATAGGTTTTGGGTGTGTTTATAAATTGTTTTGGGTGTTGGGTTTTTTTATAATTTCAGTCCCCATTTTGGGTGTTTTAGTGAAACCCCCTTAATTAATGATGAGAAAAATGGGGTGAAATGTCTACTTTTCTTCTTCAGCAAAGTGACACGATTAAATGACTCCACCGAGCCTGTTGTTGACTTTAGATCTCTAGTAAGTGAAACTTGGTGATAATTATACGTAATTGACTCGCACGTTGATTGTGTAACATGGAAAATTAAAGTGACACAAGTATTATAGAGTTCTGAGGCCGGTGGAAAGGGCGGTTCTAGAGAATCTCCAAAACGCTATAAATATATACCGTCTATCAATTGATGCCAAGCCACGAAAGCTCAAACACTTCTGTTTTTATTTTAAAGTTTCCAAAATTTTCTTTTGTAGTACTAGGTTTTCGAGCCCACTCACTTGTGCAATGATTTCCCCATCCGCCCTCCTATTTCAGGTGAACCGTTTGAAGCCAGAACTTATAACACCGGCGAAGCCAACACCTCATGAAACAAAGCTACTCTCAAATATTGATGACCAGGAAAGCCTTAGGTTTCAGGTTCCAGTCATAATGTCGTACAAGAACAATCCTTCAATGAAAGGAAACGATGCCGTTGAGGTGATCAGGGAAGCATTGAGTCGGGCACTCGTGTATTACTACCCTTTGGCTGGCAGGCTCAGGGAAGGACCAAATAGGAAGCTTATGGTGGAGTGCAACGGAGAAGGTGTCTTGTTCATGGAGGCTAATGCTGACGTTAGGCTTGCGCAACTCGGGGACACGATTGCACCCCCTTCTCCATTCTTAGAGGAGTTTCTTTATAATGTTCCAGGCTCTGATGGGATTCTTGGTTGCCCTCTGTTGCTGATTCAGGTGAGTATTTGTTAGTTAACTGCATGTTAATTAATATCTGTTTTTGAATTTCTTGGTGGATCTTGGCCCTTCTATACAATGAAAGTTTCTGATTGCTGGAATTTACTTCCATGGAATCTTTGCCTCTTTATGGATTTGAAGTAGCTAGGTGAAGGTCCATTACTGTTAATTTGTACCATGTGAACTGTGTATCAAAAGTGTGTGTGGTCCCAAATAAAACCATCTACGGACTTCTAAGATTGTACAAATGGTGAGTACATATCAGGTGAGTTAAAACAAACTGTGATATATAAAAAATTAATAACAAAATATCTAGCTTCAGTTCTTAAGTATTTACAGCTGAGGAAGAAGCAGTAGGCGGCAGGCACAATGGAGGGAGGAGTGATGGTTGTAAGTAAAACACGGGTGTTCTCAAGTGGTGGCTTTTCACTTAATTCATAAATTAGTTTTTAAATTTTTTTGTCAAAATAAATAAATTGATGATTAGCACCTTATTTGGGACACATATTTGGTGTCTTAATTTTAATTAAAATCTGATGATGTGGTTGTGCCACCTTATTTGGGACACATATTTGGTGTCCCTAGCAGTACTCATATACAAGACCCTTGCTGAATCTATTATGCAGCAAAATATCTTGAGATAAAAAATTTCACTGAGAGTATGAAGGAAAAAGCCTAGTGATTAATTCAAGCTTCTACAATATACAGGTAACCCGTCTTTCATGTGGAGGTTTTATACTTGCATTACGCCTAAATCACACAATGTGTGACGGAGCTGGGCTTGTCCAGTTCTTGAACGCCATTGGGGAGATGGCACAAGGTGCACAAGCGCCATCTACTACACCAGTGTGGGAGCGAGAGCTCTTGGGTGCTCGAGATCCACCACGAATTACGTGTGTGCATCATGAATATGAAGAAGGGATTGACGCTCAAGGCTCATTTCCAAGCACTAACAAGCCAAACATGGTCCAACGATCTTTCTATTTTGGGGCCAAGGAGATAAAGGCCATTCGGAATCATATTCCACCGCAGTTATCAACGTGCACTACATTTGATTTGATAACAGCTTGTTTGTGGAAATGCCGCACACTTGCACTTAGAATGAATCCAAAACAAGTTGTTCGCCTTTCATGCTTAGTCAGTGGGCGCGGTAAGCGCCACAATGTACGTCTTCCCTTGGGATATTATGGCAATGCAATTGCATTTCCTGCTGCAGTTTCAGAGGCTAAAGCTATATGTACAAATCCATTGGGATATGCTTTGGAGTTGGTAATGAAGGCAAAAGCTACAGTGAATGAAGAGTACATGAGATCAGTTGCAGATCTTATGGAAATAAGAGGACGACTACCAAAATATCCATTGACAGGAAACTTCATAGTTTCCGATAATTCGCGTGCAGGTTTTGGAGAGGTCAGTTTTGGTTGGGGCAAGCCGGTAT